CCCCCCCCCCCCCACCAAGGGTATGCCCAGGGCATAACGGGGATATTCACCTCATTTTCACCATTTTGTCCTTCCCCGGTCACTGGGGAATGCGCAAGCTTTCACTGCTTTGGCCATCAGGTCGGGGTCAATGTGTGGGGGATTCACACATTCCCGAAAATACTTTTTAAGTCAATGTTCACACACAAAGAGAGTGAATTCCCCCCAGTGTTCCTGAGGTGGGGGGGGGGTGTCGGTTTCAAATGACTGGTGTAGGCATTACATATTTTTTGTATGGCCCCTAAAATATACCTCCAAGGCCTTGTGACATTATGTGACTACTGTTCAAATATCCCCTATATAAAAGCATCACATATTTTGTGTATAACCAAATCAATCAAACAGAATAAACAATTCAGTCGGGTAAAATATGCACACATCGGAACCTATGTGATCATGCAGCAAATGGGCAATTGATAAAATATTAATAATTCAAACATATCAAAACATCTGACATCTGTCACATTTGCGCAAAGATACCTACTTTTCCGGCTCCATAACGACTTCAATCTCCCTTGGCTTTTCTTCAACCGTCTTTTCCTCTGAAACTATTTCTTGTTGCTTCGATTCAGGGCTCGGGTCAGGAACAACTTGTTCTTTGGGCACCTTCCCAATGTTTGGCTTGGAATTGCTCGATTTTGTGCGAATTTTTTCGCGCGGTCTCGAACGCTTCCCCGCAGGATTGATAGCAGCTTTTTTAATCGGTTCTTGTCTTGTATTTTCATTATAATCTACGCTTTCCCTCTGCATTTTAAAACGACGAACTTCTTCTTCGCTGAAGCCTGAAAAACCCGCCATCTTTGAAGTCGTGGCAAAGCTGCGCCCGCGAAGGATGAAATGCTTGGTCAGCGGCGGTATATACTTTTCAAAAAAAAACTTCAGCAAGCCACCTTAAAATTGATTACCATTTTGCGCGTGTCCGTTTTTCGGGCAGGGGCTATTTGGGAGGGTTGTTGGACCAAAGTATGTCTTTTTAGTTGGGGGTTGACAGTTTTTTTGACAACAATTGATCCACTTGCAATAAAAATCTTGCCAGGTTAAATTCATAAAGACATCAAAACCATACATATTCACCTTTATTTAAAGATGTCGTTCACAACAACGTTGTCTACACAACAATATTAGCCTTAGTGACGGTTGCCTGGAAACCCAGAAGTCCTTGGAGATATACACAAACAAAAACACAAAACAGAAATGCATGTACAATATGCATCGGCAATTCCATTTGCGCAATAGAATAACCTTTTCAAAGTTTCGAAGTGACAATTCGAATTTATTACAAATCCAAAGTGCAAACTAGCCTGACGATGAATTTCTAAGAAACTCGAAAACCACTTATTTGCCTCAAATTGCGAGTCTTGATATGGAACTTCTACTTATTAGCCTATATCTAGTGGGAACAAGAATTTCATGAGAGATGACGAGCTATTTTCAAGCGTTGCAAAAACTCTCATCAAAATTTGAAGCAGTTCAAAGTTGATATGCTCATATGCATGAGAGTTGGGCGATTATTTCTCAGCGAGTATTCTACTTATGCTCACGAAACTTAGCCGACAGATACCTCTGTCCTTGGGCTTTCACCGTTTGAAATATCATGGCGACAGTTCAAATACTTTTCGAATGGCGACATTTCGACGTCTCTTCCAAGTCGAACCGCCAAAAAAAATTTTAAAAAATTTCGTGTGTTGGCGGCCAAACACGAGCGAGAATTATGACTAATCGCCTGAAATTGATGAGCATTTGTGCCGAGTTTCGAGAGCATAAGTCGATTGATTGTGTATATACTCTATTTCTAATAAACACACTCTACAATGAATCTTATGTAATAATTCAACGTGGCTGCATGCTCATATACTCCTCAGGTCCAATAACATGCATGACGCCCATATGGCCGGGTTGGGCCTCGACAGGCATTTGCGGGTTGGGTGGATAGCCAGCTGCCGACTGCATTGCAATCGCCTGAGCGGGGTAGGTTAGTGTTGCCTGCATCTGCGGGTATGCCTGTTGCGGGATCATCATCGTCGGACCGTGTTGATGCGTGGGGATTGGGACGGGGATAGGCATCGAGGCCGGGTGGGCAGCGAACAATATAGGGCCCTGGGTCGAATGGTACTGACCTACGGGAACGGCTGACGTCGGTATGCTATGCCATTGGGTAGGAGGTTGGACCTGCGGTTGTTCTACCGACCGGGGATTGTAACCCTCCGGGTAATGTCTGTCTTGATTGGATTGGTGGGTATGACGGATCATTGGGGGTTTATTGGGTACCTCTGTAGACCACGCCTTGCACAGAGCTTCACCGATACTTGGCTCCAATTCCTGTGAAGAGAAAAAAAGGAAGCTATTGACTTAATTTCTAAGTGGAGTAAAATATTAATGAAAGTCTTTTTCATACTATTTCTGACACTCTACTATTTCTGATATTCTGACTGTTTTTGTATTCAAAATGTACATGGTGCATTAGAAATCTAAACATCCGACCCCACAAGTTAATAATAAATCTTATTTTTCATCCAAAAATATGTGCGCATTAAGAGGCGTGTCGAGTATTTTCGATGAGCGGTTTTCAAAACCTAAAATCCTTTTGGCGTTCCTCTCAAAATGACTTTGTTTTAGCGATGTTCCTCTTAATGAAAATGTACATTTATTCATAGTCATATGTGTGTACCGACCTGGCCATCGCGACTTATTTGAACCTTCTTGTTGTCATTCCACGGGTTAATAAGATGGTGAACATGTTGAAATGGAATATTCTCGCTAGAAAAACATCGAATAAATTTATCATATTCTATCGTATTAGCCACTAAATCGCCCCAGAACAAGTTCCAACAGGAAAAATATGTCATAAATCTTACCATTTAAGCCAGGTGACCGTGAACGAGCCCGTGAGAAGATTGGAACCGAATTCGCGACATTTTTCACGACTTATGAGTGACGTCATGTGTGCATAACCTGTGTAAATTTAATACATTTCATTAACAAGTGCATTTAAGAAAACGCAAGCAACGCTTTACCATTTACTGACGCTTATTAATGATTCTAGTTTACCTTGAAAATGGCCACTGCCTTGCACGGAGAATATTAGAATGACCTTCCTGCTTTCCTAAACAAAAATACAAATTTTTAATAACTGAAATCATATCGCATTCATAAGTTTAAATTTAATGTATCGCAAACCTTGAAAGCTTTATTGAGCTTCTTTTCGTTAGCTTGTGTGGTCGCCCAGATGCCCTAACAATCAAAGTGTATAGTTAAAGATTTTGACAGCAAATAATTTAACTTTCAAGAGACGATTCATAACATAATTTGAAGTATCCATGATATACAGTACTGTACACACATATAAAAACGCACAAGTTGTTCCAGGTCTGCAAACAAGTTGTTACAAATCTGTTCACAAGCTATCGACAAGTTGTTGTGTTCGCACTGCTTGTTCCCAGTTGTTGTAACAAGTTTGGAACAAGCTGTTGGACGACTTGTAACAAGCTTGAAGGCATTATCAGACTTGTTACAAAGTTGTTCTAACAAGTCTGATGCAGTCATGATATATAGCAAGAATGTGACAACGTTGACGACACAAGGTTGTAACAATATTGTTATATCGTGAATGCATCGGACTTGTTGGAACAACCTTGCAACAAGTCTGATAATATCAACAAGGCTGTTACAAGTTGTTAACAGCTTGTTCCAAACTTGTTGACAACTTGTAACAAGCAGTGCGTTGGCAGACTTGCTACAAGATGTGAGATTTTTACGTGTGTCTAAGGTAAGTTCTGACGCTCTTTGAGTTGAGTTTGTACAACTCAATGAAATACGAAGTACATTCGGAGAATTTTCCACTAGGTATGATAGCTTGCACACACGTAAAACTCTCACAACTTGTCAACAAGATGTGTTCGCAACAGGCTTGCAGCAAGCTTGTCAACTTATCCCATACGTGTGTTAAAAGCGGCTTTCTGATTGGTTTAGAGCAGGTGAGCTTGTCGTCGAGCTCACCTGCTTTTTGCCGAACTCACCTGCTTTTCGCCCGAACTCACCCGCTAAACTGCTTACGTTGCAATAACAATATTAAACAAATATGGCGGCCGACAAGATTTAGCCGATAAACCTAAACTTTAAAGAACTTTTTTCGGTGACTAACATACTGAGACTGAAGAAAAACCAAAGAAAAAATGCAGTAAAGGTAATGTAGCCGTAGATAAAGAAGTATTTTCTTGCCCAGTGATTTTTTTGGCCGGGAAAATGTTCACAAAACATCGACGAATATATCGCGAAGAGCTACAAATGTGTGTATGGCTCGGTGTATGGGATAAAAAACAAACGTACTTGCAGGTTCGGTGAGTCCGGGATTGGACGCACCTCGGGTGGCTGGAAGTTTCCCGAACTCACCTCGCTTCGCTCGGTAAGTTCGGGAAACTTCCAGCCACCCTCGGTGCGTCCAATCCCGGACTCACCTCCCTGCAAGTACGTTTGTTATAAAGTTGTAACAATGCTGTCATTCCATCACGTTGCTACAAGGTTGTCACTCACAACTTGTTATCAAGTTGTTGAATTGCAGGACGATAACATGTTGTTGGAACAACTTGCAACAAGTCTGTTGGATTCAACAGGCTTGTAGCAAGTTGTCAACAAGTTGTAACAATGCTGTTATGTTATCAAATTGCTACGAGGTTGTCACTCACAACTTGTTGACAAATTGTTGAATTGATAACAAGTTGCTGGAACAGTTTGTAACAAGTCTGTTGAGCTCAACAACCTTGTAGTAAATTGTCAACAAGCCGTTGACAACTTGTCAACAAGCTGGGAACAAGCAGTGCGAACACATCCTGTTGACAAGTTAATTGTTGAAACAGCATTGCTACAAGTCTGCTGCAGGTCCGTCACAACTTGTGCGTTTTTACGTGCGTACATGCAAACAAAACAACAAGTTACGACAACCAGGTTTCAAACCAGTCAAAGTAAACAACACAACGACAAATACAGAAGTTGCTACCCTCATATATACCTTTGACATTGCGATATCAATGTTCCTTTGGTTGTTGCATTTCATTATGAAATATCTCACTGCAAGAAAGTTGTTTACAAAATATAAATTAATGGTAAACTCGAACACACAAAGTAAAAAAAAATTCGTCTATTCAACTGAAGTTGAAAAATAATGAACCCACCATCATATTTGTACTGTGGTTCTTTTCTCTGACCCAACTCGTCCTGCAAATAAATAATTAATAAAGTCTTTAATAAACCTTCTATAATGTTCACAGTTAAATGACAAGAAGTAAGATCACTGTTGACGCAATATGTGTAAATAAAGCCGAGTCAGCACCATTATATATCTGGTGAGAATTGAAGAGTACCTGGGACTTTGGGGAAGCATCAAAATTTAAACTTCCTGAAACGCAAAGAAAATATCTGTTGAATATACCATGCGGAAAATTATGGGTTTGAAGATGATAAATAATACACAGTGCTCCTAAGGTGACTCTTACGTTGTGGTTCTCTTCGCCTCTTGTCCCTGCCAGAGTTGTTATTGAAATTCCTTCCTCTCCCTCGACTGACAAAAATGATAATTTTCAAAATAAGAGACTTTTATAAATTTCAGCAATAATAGACAAATTTAACTAACATTTGTTGCTTCAAAAACGATCGATCTAGCAAGTTCATTGGCGAAGTAATTTTCAAAAAATACGTTGTGTAAATCGAGAAAATCAAAGTTAAACTCAAACGTTTATGTGAATCAAGGGAAATCTCTATCACATATAAAGATACGACACGCTTATGATTTTCTTGAATGATATTTTCTTGAAGAATACTAAACATCCAGTTTAATCAAGACAAATCACCAACTCGATAATTGTACTGAGAGGACTTACTTTTCATTTCTGCCGCCAAAATCAGTTTCATCGACCTTAAACGAATGAAAATAAGTTTCAATGCTCATCTGTTTATAAACTACAGCAAATCCATGTGACGGTTTACCTTGTTTTCTATTCTTCCAATAACATTTCCTACAAAAGAAACAAAAAATTAACATTTAGTAGCTTCATTTATAAAATACATATTTTACTGTAAGAAAGCAGTTGCCGGTTATAAAGGACTGTTTACACTCGCAATTTTTGCTGTGATTTTGAACAAATGATAAGTTATTGAATGTTCACATGCATGAGGCTTCATATACAGCTAATTCAAAAATGGTTGCCCTTTGCAAACCTTACTCTCTAAACTTTAAACTTTAAACGCTATAAGCGTGCAAAGCATAATGGGAGTATCATTTAATCAGTTTAGAAATCATATGTGAGGCCCATTTCTTATAGAGACATGGTAAATATCTCCTTACGAGAACAATTTATTCACAAATAGCTGCAATATTCAACTACTAAGCTTCAAACCTGTGCTCTCATTAAGCTTTGCGCGCTTAGAGTTAAGGTTTGCAAAGGATAACCTTTCTTTGAATTGGCTGTATACTCATCTATTCACAATTCATCTACTCGTTGACATGCATCAAAAGAAGATGCATGTGGGCTTCCGGTCTCCCGACCCTACCTAGCTTTTGGACGTCAAAATCCCCACCCTAAACTTTTTTATTGGATCACGCTTGTAAGTGTTTCCACTTAGAGGAAAACGTTTGTGGAAAATGAAAATTTGAGGCAATATTACGGAAATTTATGTTTGGATATGGAAGCACTGACTAAACAAAATGGCGTCCGGTTGTTAGAAAAATTTAAAAAAAAGTTTAAAAAAAGTTTAAACCGACCTACCCCACCTAAGTTTTTACAAGAGGAAACCGGAAACCCACATATTTTTTTTTTGGCCCTAGAAATCTCAGCAAAAATTGCAAATGTAATAAGAGATCGTGACTGCATAGCTTTATAACCATACTGTACGTTGAGTTGCAAAATCCCAAATTTTCAATGGAGACAAAACTAGAATATGATAAAAAATACCAGTCTTCCAAGTTCGCTGTGTTCTCTGAAATTGTTGATCTATACCCAAAGCTTCCTCTTGTATGGTCAAAACATTCACAATTGTTCTCAGTACAGTCTAAATAATGACACAAGTAGCCGCTATAGACCTTTTAAATAACCTACAAATATGTCAAAATGAAAGATAGGATCGGATGGCATGGAGAACAATGGGATTTTTAAAACAATGAAAAGAAATGCAACATCCGATCACCAGATTGTGACTGTATTTATAGTATTTCTATTGTATCAGTCATAATTATGTCGTCATAGGTAGGAACGAATTCGTTAAATTAAACGAAAATTAGAAATAGGAATGGACAAACAAATTTGTACCTCATCGACTTGTGATAAAGGTCGGGACGGAGACTTGAGTCTTCGAACAACAAGAGCCTGCAACTTGTGACGCAAATATTGCACCAACACAACTAGCTGAAAACAAGATTTATAAATGTATACTGTAAAGACCTTAGGATTACAGTCTTTTTTGTTGGGCTGCATGTTTACTTTGAGGCTCAATATCACGAATGTCTAAATCCATCTCGCTACAATGAACTATATTTGTACTGGATAGCTCCAGAATAAAATCGAGACAACTACACGCGTAAAACTCTCACATCTTGTAACAAGTCTGCCAACACGTCGTACGTCAACAAGTTGTGTTCGCACTGCTTGTCCCAAGCTGTCAACAAGTTTAGAACAAGCTGTTAACAACTTGTAACAACCTTGTTGATATTATCAGACTTGTTGCAAGGTCGTTTCACCAAGTCCGATACAGTCATGATATAACAATATTGTTACAACCTTGTGTCGTCAACCTTGTAACATTCTTGTTATATCATGACTGTATCAGACTTGTTAGAACAACCTTGTAACAAGTCAGATAATGCCATCAAACTTGTTACAAGTTGTTAACAGCTTGTTCCAAACTTGTTACAAAAACTGGGAACAAGCAGTGCGAACACAACTTGTCGACAGCTTGTGAACAGATTTGTAACAACCTGTTTGCAGACCTGTAACAACTTGTGCGTTTTTACGTGGGTACAGGAGCTCTTCTCCCATATGACTGAAGCGAGATTATAATTAAAACAACTTTATATTGCAGAGATCGAATCCTGGTCACAGAGGTAACCGGTCTGTTTTTGACAGGTCGCTGATACGCTTACAATAACAGTGAAACAAACTAT